CTGCAAGCATTGCGAGGCAAGGGCTCAAACATGTACGGCTCTAAACCTTTTACACCAAACCAAGCTTCTGGCGTCCTCTTTCCCAACATCTTCGTCCCCGCTTTCCTCTAAATAAAAAATGTATGACAAAGGAGACTCATCCACAACCCATCCGAAACAAGACTCTCCTCCTCTTGCATGTTCCCGCTGTCCATAGCGTTCCTTGACATTGTTGTTTCTAAGTCACAAATTTAGTGCTACTTGATCCCAATGTAATTTTCCACTGGGAACATACTGTACTAGAACTAAGTTGCTAACTGGTTAGCAAGATGCTTCCGAGACACGGGCCACAACCAAACTCCTTGCCAACCTTCTGCCACAACAATCTCGCCCCCTTGATAAACGACCAATCACATTCACTTTATTCACCTTTTATGCTAGTTTTGTCACCAATGTGTTTTTTTCCCGACATAACTGAACAATTGTTGACACCTTTTAGGAGCTGCAAGTGATGCATCCATTCAACCGCATCATCGATTACAACAGCAGAGGCAACTACTTCCAGATGACCATCCGCACCATGGTGAGGGGCGTCAGCTTCGTGTGTGAAACCTCACAGGTAAGTGGCTGAGTTCACATGTAGATTAACATCAAGTCAGGAATTATCACTCCCTTGTTCTTCACATTTTAACCATTCCTCTTTACCGTAGGCTTCCACAATAGAGGACATTGTTAAATCGTACGTCAGGATGTATGAGGAACAGAGGCAGATTTCTCGACCGAGGAACAACATGTTTGACTGAGACTTTGAACTGATCTGTTCTGATTTCCATGCAATGTTATTCATTTTCTTGAAGTTAATCCATTTGTAAACAATAAATAATAACAGACTTCCTCTATTAAAAATGTGATATTCAAACGTTTCTGTGCAATATTTCTACTTTTTTAGTTTACACACAGTTGTTACCTTTTAGCACAGTATAAATGTAAATAATGGTTTATATCGTCTAAGTCAGGGTTTTCAAAGTAGGGGTCTGGACTCCATGGGGGATTGCAGGACAGTAAATACAGTGAAAGGTTTTTAGAACCCCTGCTTTGAGTTAAATTGTGCTCAAATTTAAAAGTTTTTTACTTTTACTACTCAAAGTTTTTTTTTTTCTATGATCCAAAACATTGATTATATATTCGAACTAAATTTGATGACTACTCTAGACATGCTGTCAGTCTAAAATAACACATTTAGTTGTATAAATGGCAGAGATCTGAGACTTTTTGCTTGTAAAAGGAGGGACTTTACACTGAAACTGTAATTCCACTGTTTGCTTTAAATCCACTTATCACTAAAATATTTATAAATATAAAATCAATGTATTTAGGACATAGTGTTTGTCCTGTTTGGCCATGTTGTTTAATACAGCTTTAGTTGTTTTACGGGGATCTGATTGGGTGTGATTAGTAACACTGACGGTAGGTGCTGTATGTTTAGCTGTACTAAACACCCATGGCCATATTTGGACATGCCTAAAGTGATAACTTGTTTTGTTTGCAGTGATTGCTCAAGGTATGTGCAGTAAATTCTAAATATGGTTTAATTATTTTTGAAAAAATCCTGCAGCAAATTAATGTATGTTTGTCATTTATTTAGCAAGAAATGACGGCTGAACAACCAAAGAGTTACAACCATTCCTGTTGGTAATTTCTTTTAGAGTCCAGTCCATGTTCTCTCCTCCCTTTATTTCTACCTTCTGCTTCCCTAAGAATAAAGGAATTCTGATTTGGGGTGTGAATCACCTCCATGTTTTGGATCAGGGTTAAAAGCTCAGTCCATGAAGAGTGGTTTTTAGAAACCTTAAGTCGTGTTCCTGGTTTTACAAATTTGAATCAAATAAGCAAACTGTTTCATCAGCATTTAATAAAGTTCTACAGAGTCCTGTTTATGACTGAATTAATCCTCTCAGGTGTGTTAATCGCACGTTTAGACAGACAGATTTTTCTTTGTTAAGGATTGTGTCCTTTGAGGGCTGGAATTTGACTTCAGTGAAAGAGCCTGTTTGGTTACATTCTAGGTTTAAGAATAAAATCTGAGTTCCTGATGTCATTAACTTCACCTAGGTTATAATGGGGTTTGGAAAAGAAACTAGTCCACAGAATCATGTTCCTCCACCATGCCAACAGTGACCATAGTTTTCCACATTTTCAATTATGTTTTTTTTTTGTCTTATCAAAACAATATTTCAGTAAAGAAAAGCCTTCCTCTTAAATATTTGGCCGGATAACATCTAAAAACAGTTAATAGAGCCTTGATGACCTTAAGATGCCAGTATTTGCTGCAGTTTTCTAAGTGCCAATTCTGTAATGTCTTTAACTTTATATAAGCAATTACTGTAAATTGAACTTTTCAGTAGCATGAGAGGTTTTCGATGTTTCCATTGATTTAATCAAAAAGAGTTTAGAAATATTATTCTAGTCAAAGGCATTTTTTTTGGATACATAAATAGACTTCTTATTTATAACTAGGGGTCTATAAACAACATGTTTGTACCATTCTGATATCTTTGCTGCCTGGGTTTGTTCTCTTCCAGCTTTATCAGTTGCAGTTTTTGTGGTTTTAAACTTCGAAATTATTGCCCTGCCTTCAGGTATGCCTAACAACCTGTAAGCGGGTATATAAACATACCTCTTTTCTCCACATGTCCTTACAAAATCTTTATTGATCTGATCTGGTATTCTAATATTAAATATTGTGGGGTTTTTTTTTTGCTCTAGAGGATTTTACAATTGAGCTGACCTGCAAAAATGTCAAACCGACATCCTAATAACCATACCACTGGTTTATTTTTTCTATTTTTTATGCCAGTACTAAGAACTTTTATCTGATCAGCAGTAATTTCAGGTATATTTTGTTGTCTGCAGATAATCCTACTAGGTCTACCTCAAATAAACGTGTTAATGAAAATAAACCATATATTAAAATGTACTGAAACTAGAATAACAACATAACTGGATCTAGAGTTAATGTTTTTAAAGAAACATTTTACTATGAATTCTAAGATGAGGACTTCACCCAAAGTCTGGAATCATTAGATGCTTTAATCTATTTTTATCTTACTTTTATTATGTACCAGTGGATCCATTCATTTAGATCCTGTCTCATTAGCTCTACAGCTATGAAGTTGCACAACTTCACTGGAGCCTATAATCTTTATGCTTATTATTGACAAGAGCCAGTTGTGGTCGACTGCAGCTGTAGTTTTGGTTGGACTTTCAAATTTTCAGCCTAGTTTCTAGTTCTGCATTTGACTCTCCTAGAAATCTCCTGACTGCTTCTGATACTGTATGACTGCCACAAACAAATCACTGCTCTCCTTAAAGAAATCACTCAGGTTTCATACTGAAGTGCAGGATCACATGCACAGCGTATGTTTGGTAGATAATAAATGAGTGACATGTGTTGAGTAACTACTTATTCAATCATCTTCCTAGTCTGTCAACCCTTTTGCTGTTTCTATGGAAACCTTGCCTCAAAAAAAAAAAAAAAAATCAGGTTACCATTGGCAGGTGCATATGAGGAGCAATGATTGTTTGCACCCTGGTGTGTTGATGCAATCTGACTGCAAGGAGACACAAAAAAAGTCAGTTCAGAGTTTGAATTCATTTAGTTCGTTTTTCTTTTTTTGTCTGAACCAAACCTAAAGTTTTAACAGTCTTAGATTTCCTTTGAGGGGAAAAAAAGTTTGAGCCTGTAACATAAATGTATTTGAATGCAAAAAAAGATAAAGATGTAGGCCAAAATGTCCCCTAAGTAAAGATGATATGTATATGTGTTTGTGTGCAATGCCTGCCCTACAGTAACATGGAAAATGCATTTTGATGCAGTGCACCAAATTTGAAACAAAACACCTTTGAGCCCAGACCACATCACTATCCTCCCACCTGCATACCCCCCCTCCCCAAACGACTTATATATCATGAATAAAAAAAAAAAAAAAAAAAGTTATGATCCGCAGAAATGCGCACACAGAACAGTGCAAAAACTCTTTGATGCCAACTTTAAATATGCATCTTGTTTATGATGTGATAGGGGTAGAGTACAGGTCTTTTCTGTTTATCTAATTGGCTTTATTTATTGTTTAACTGAATGTGTGGTTTCTTCCTTCTTCCTCTGGATGCAGACAACAACTTTCAGCCATTTTTTTCAGGGGTTGTTGTTGAGCCTAACAAGACAACTGTTCCCAGGTCGACGCAGAGCGGTACCTTCCGGTGAACCTAGAGCTAGTTTGGAGGAGGGTAAAATGATCCCAGATCAGTGTCTGTTTCGGTGTCAGGTCTGCTCTCGCGCTGCTCGCAGAGAGAGCGTCAGCCTCGCGATAGCCTCGCCTAACCGACCCTAGAATCAAAGCTCCGCTCGCGAACTGGATGCTGACAGGCGCGCGCGCGGTGCGGTCATCATGCAAAGGTTACATTGGATCCCTGTCAAGAAGCCGCTCCCCCGTAGGACCCTCTCGGGTGACAACATGCAAGACGTCTAGCGGCGACGACGACGGGACTGACAGCCCCCCCTTTCCTCCTCCTCTTCCTCCACTATCCCTCCTCTCCCTCGTCTTTCGCCGGTGTGTTCGTCTGCGGCAGGTGTCCAAAAACGATGGACGCCGTAAGTTTGAGATTTCCGCAAACGGCAGTGCGTGCGCTGGCTCCTCTCGGCGGTAAAGTGGCTTCATGAGTGTCCAAAGTAACAGTGGAAGTGGTGGTGGAAGTTTGGAGGCGACGCCATCTTGGTCACAGCTCTCCTCGTCCCCTACGATTTCTCAACAACACATAACGGCGTCCGCAAAGATCAAGGAAGGTACTTTAAAAAAAAAGAAGGCTCGCCACAGGATTGGGCTGGTTTTAATGAAAATGTTTCCTATTTGCTGTGAGTCGGACACCATTTTGTTATAGCGGTTGGGAAGCTAACGTTTGCTTAGGTGAAAAGGGGAAAAAATGGATGTCAAGTTCACTGATGCAGGGAATTGGAAGCCAAACGTCAGCTGTCAGTTCAGCTTAACGCCAGCTTTAAGTAGCAGCAGGCTAAATCACCATGTTTCCTCCAAGGCTGCTGCTAGCTTGTTGACTTGTTTGTATGGCTGCCAGCTTGAAATCGGTATCAGTGTTTTGCTGCACTTCGTATCGTTTACCTTCTGCCACTTTGTAGATAAACAACATAACTGTTTGTGCATCCATTAATGCACAGCTATGCACGTCCCCGTCACTATTATACACGACTATAAGCCGTGAAGGTTACTTTTCAAGCAGTTTTTGATTGCATCTATTTTATGTTCTTTTTTCGACACACTAGGTGAAACAAGTATGTAACTCTTATGATTATGTGCGGATGGATGCATCATGATAAATGGCAACAGCTGGTTTTAATGTTGCAGCTTGATCTATTAGTAACAGGACATGATCTGCATGTTAAAACATTCAGACCCTCGTAGTGTTTTTAATTTATCACTTTATTTAAACTATTCGAGATAAATACAGCACAGCATGTTGCAATATAAAGCTGGGGCTATTTGCATTTTAATCCACCCAAATCACTTTCTATTTTCTCTGACTGTAACCTCTGCTACGTGCTTCATAAGGGTTTCATAATCTCCATTATGCCTTTTAAGGCCTGCCCCAGTGCCAGTAGCTGTGCAAAGATGTCAGCCTGGAAATGTCCAATAAGGAGACAAACACTTGGAGGAGAACACAGAGCAGCTGTGTTACCTCTCCTCTGAGTGGAAACTGGTTGTACCAGATCAAGCCCCTGTCTGACAGCACATATGAGTTTCTTTCTACATGTGATCTGATGCTTGCGGTTCAATTTAAAGGTAAACTTTGGCTTTGAATAGCCTTTATTATTTTTAGTAGTTAAAGCACAACTGATGCACACGTGTAGCATTTTAATTGGTAATGTTGTGAAAGGCCTCGTTGTTGTTTGTTTTTAAATTTCCTTTTTAGATGATCTGATTATTGTTTTGTTTTTTTGTGGTGGTTAAACTCTGATCTTATTTCTAAGTGGTAACTGACTATTCTAGATGGTTCCTGGACTCTGGATCCATTAATGTCAGTGTTTTATGTAGGGTTGTTGTTTTGACTGCTCCGGTGTGATGATACTGTAGGTTAGCTGATGGAAAATTTTTTTGTGGACGGACTGGAAAGCTGACTTCACCCTCTCTCGCCTTTTTGCTTCCTGACTTCCAAGTGCTACTGTGACCTTTCTGCTCAGTTTGCACCTTCCACAACAGGCTGAAGGTGTATTTGTTTTGAGAAGCCACCCTAGTTTTAGTTAAACCCCTTTGTTTTTTACTTTTTATCATTTGCTACGGTTGACTTTTTCTTATTTCTTTAAGGCCTCTTGTGTTGATACTTTGTATTTCATCATCAGACATTTTGGGCTGCTGTTGCTTCTTGAATAACAGGACATGTATACGTTCATAACAGGAGCAATGGAGGAGCTGCACAGCTTGGACCCCAGGAGGCAGGAGCTGCTGGAGGCCAGGTTTACAGGAGCTGTCAGCGGCAATACGGGAGGCAGCACTGGGAGCGCCAGTGGAGGTGCTAAGGTAATGGCAGAGCTATAGAAAGTAAAAACAAAAGCAAAAAGGTTTTATGAAATCCAACATTCTTTGTAGAGAACCCCACTGATTCTGACCTGATCTGCTGATTCTGATGTTGTGGCATTTCTTTTTGAAGACTAAAAGTGTTCAGTGTTGTTTTAAGCATAATAGAAATGTTTCAGAAAGAGGAAAAAAAAAATCAGAGCCAGAGATGGCCAGTTTTCAAACTATAGTAAAAAAAAAAACATCGTATCCCAAATTATGAATGTGTTTGATCACTTTTAGCATAATCCTTTTCTATGTTAGTGTGATGACAGCAAAGTTGCCCTGTTCTTACACTTAATGACTATAATCACTCAGATGACAAGCTATACACAGATAAAAATGTCAACTCAATCAACTTTTTGTCTTCGTTTTGTTGTGTGGCATAATCTCTACTCTTCATTATAAATAATGATGCCTCACAGTAGGAGGGGTATGAAACCCTTTCAGCCGTCTTTTTCTCTTAATGAGAAACAAGGATCTCTCAAAATCAGTGTTGGCAAGTCAGAGATTTTCAAATACCGGGAATCAATCAGAACCTTCTGTAACAGATAAAAGTTAGACCTTTTCTGCTCGCTCCTCTGTGGAGGTTGAGTTTTCAGGTTCACGAAAATAGACATGACACATTTTTAAACTTAAAACGAAGGGGGCATTACTGCCAAAGTAGCAATGATTTAAATAAGATTTTGCTTCTGATGCGTTAAATTAATAGTGAAAAACTTGTTTTATGAATTACAGATTGACGATTGCATCACTAGTTTACTGGTTATTTCAATTTTAGGGACTTAAGATATACATTTAATGCATATTTGGTTATTACAAACATGATAGGGTTTTGAGGTCTGCAATAAATGAACTTTAAATCAGCTTGTGTATATATATATAAAAAAATAATAATAAAAAAATCAGAGCTTGCTTACTCTACAGAGAAAATGTAAGCGGACGTACAGAGTGTGATCTGCAGTGGTCACCACTGTGTTTATTTATCAAGTTTACTTTAGAAATTTAAGCCTAAGAAGAAAACTCCCTGCCTTATAAGCCAGCAGGCGGTTATTTGATGTTCCCTTGTATCAATCTACCGGTGCTTACATGTTCCTAACAGGGCTGGGAGCTCCTTTTTAATCCCAGAAATAATTCAAGCCCTCCCTTCCTCATGCTGAAAAAGCAGGTTAAAGGTTCCTGTTTTCCTAAAAAGGACTCTTTAGTTCCTGGAAATGTTCATGTGCTTGGGGAAAAAAAGCCTAGTGACACACCTAATCACTAAGAATCTGCATTCTTGTCAGGCGTGTTACACGGCAGGCCTGCCGCCAGCACTGGTTTGTCTGTGCTGCGGATTTCTGTCAAGTCACTGAGCTTGCACAACACACCTGTACAGACTGTTCTCCCATTTGCTGATCCATGGGTATTATTGTCGTTGTAGGGTCTGGCCAATGAATCCTCAAACCACAGCTATGGAAGTCTGGGTTCATCCAGTGACAAGGAGTCAGAGGTAAGCCGCACACAGAGACAATCATGCAGGTCTTTTCTCATTCAAAATCAGAGTGAGTTTATAACATGTATGCACACATCAAGTATGCACATCCCACTCTTGGCTCTTTTTCTACCTCCACCTTCTTTTCTGTCTCTTCCTAGAACTCTGATTTAAAAAGAGGGAGCTCCCCTGCCTACTCAGTATGTACTCTTTCTTCCTGCTGCTCTTTCCTGCTGAACACCATGCTCTGTTCTATACTTTGTTAGGTAAAACACAAGGGATTTATGTTTTTTTTTATTTAAAAATGTTTTCCCTCCTCCTCCTTTCATATTTTATCGATTGTCAGACCCCAGAGAAGAAGCACTCTGAAACTTCCAGGGGCCGGAAGAGGAAAGCCGATACCTATTCTGACAGCAGTCAAGGTATGCTGTGTTTAAATGGTGGGATTCAAGCTAGCATAATTCCCCAGCAGCTTCCCTTTGAAATGCATTTATTTATTCTTTTTTTTTTTTTCTGGTTTTCAGGGAAGACTTCTACACGCGGGCCCAAAATCAGTGACTTTTTTGATGTAAGTTGTTTCACTCTATCATTTTGTCTGGAGACTTGATGGTTTAAAGCTGTATATAAAAGCTGTTTTGTATTCCTTGAAGTTTCAGGGTGGGAATGGGTCCAGTCCAGTAAGAGGGCTTCCATCAGCCCGCCGCTCCCCACAGAGCTCACAGTCGGCACCCGGCTTAATCGTACGTATTTTCCTAAGAGTCGTTTCAGCTCAGAGTTTCGTGATAAGTGTGTGCTTATATAACATGGTTGTAACTCTATTTTTTTTTTATTTTTTTTTATTTTTCTGTGTTGTAGATTCGTCAGAACAGTTCCTCTCCCACCAGTCTGTGTTTTGGGGAGCACACTCTCAAAGCCTCTTTAAGCAAATGCATCCAGGTACAAGACGACAAACTGACAAAAAGAGAACAGCTTGGTTATTCTGACAATTTAGATCCTCTGCTAGTTGGCTATTGTCCTTAAAGCATCTTCTGCTTTACAGACGGAGCTGACGGGCCTGAAACTCGCTGCCCTGGAGAGCAACAAGAGTCTGGACCTGGAGAAAAAAGAGGGGCGAATAGATGACCTGCTGAGAGTGAGTCCTGTCTCTACAGTAAAGGCGCAACATTCATTCACTGTGGTCCAGTTGTACAAATGAACACTGGTCTCCTGCTTCATAAACTGGTCCTCAAAAGATTTCCTCCAAGCATTAAGGGATTTTCTTCTCTTTACCAAAATCTTTCAGGACAGCGTAGAAAGAAGTTCTCATGCCATGGTTTAAAAAACGTTGCCCCCACCTGTTTCTCCTTTTCGGTTAAAATACAGAAATGATGTGTCTTTTCTTTTGAAAAAAGACCTCTTTTGAGCTTTTCTTAATTATATATATTTCATTTTCAAGAACTAGCCACAAGTCTTTTCTTTTTCCCTTGAGGAAGTTTGCTCAATAATCTAAAACAAACAAGCCAATCCAACTCTGCACGTTGCTAAAGTTGTATCTGGTTTTACATAATGGCAGAAAATGCTACCACCATGTTACTGAGGCAGACAGCTTAGTGACTGTGCTGATCACAAGATTTTGGATTGCGTCTTTGATTAGTTTTAAGTTAAAGGTGAAAGTACCGATGACTCTAGATGTGCAGTTGGTGTATATTCCTTGATACTTTTAATTTCTGTTGCTTATTTGAGCTTACGTAACCTTAAGGTTATGCACTAATTCACCTTATGCTAGTTAAAAAAGATGGCTGTAGTATACCTGGGTTTGCCCCAGCTATAAGGGGGTGGAAATACAGTCATCCTGTTGGATATAAACTTTGTTAAACAGCACAGATCGATTGTGGTTGATGGCAAAAATGTAGAATTATGAATGTTTATTGCTAAAGGGAAGGGAGATCCTACAGAGAATTTGAGTATTCGCCTTGCACTTGTGAGTTTAAAAAGGCATCCGCCAGGGCCAGACAATTCATAATTTTATTATTAAATTGACTTTTCTGTTTAAAAAGATTTTGTTTTTGGAAAATCAAAATGTAAGATTTTTAAGTCATATTGCCAAGCCATAGCTTCCACTGACATTAAAGGTAACTATGAAGAGATTTAATTTTAAATTCCTATTTGTTTTTTGTATTTGATTTATGTTTAAGGATAACATTTATTTTACGGCTGAAACAATTAATCGATTATTTAAATAATCGTTAGCTAAGTTAGCAATCGATTAATCGTTAACTGTAGTATAGAGACTTTAAAGCAAGCCTTTAGCTGACAGAGCAACCTACCTTGAGCAGCAATTAAACCAAAACTGTGCGAGAAAGAAGTGTAAACATTTTGCATTTAAGATAAGAAAAACTTTTTTTGTTTGTCAATGTGTCCTATCCAAAACTCTAGTGGAAAAGTTTTAGTTTCACCTGGTTTCATTTCGCAAAAAATCTTCTTTAACTGATCTTTGGCTATCCGATGATTAACTGATTCATCGAAAAATTAATCTACAGATTAATCCTTTTGCAAAATAATTGTTAGTTGGAGCCCTAATTTATTTATTTTTTAAAAAGGAGCCATCGGTTTTAGATTGGTGTTAATTCCATTTCATGTTCTAGATATTGTTTAAAAAAGGAATTTGAAAGTAAAGGTATTTAGAGCTGTCTGCCAGCCCATTTCTATCTACATGGATGAAGAATGAAGGTTTTCTAGTAGCTGAGGCTAATTCTTGATTTAAAACCGAAACTCTGGCTTGATCTAAAATAGACTGGTCCTCTTCAACCCTCCATACCCACCATTTATGGTACGGTTCAATTAGGGTTTTTCAAAGTGGACCAGGTTAGCTTTGTTTCTTCTTAATGATAAATTATCAGTCAAAACTAGGTTTAGTATTTAATCTTGTTTGTTTGACTAATAACTAGTTTAGATTGAACTGAAACATTTACTGTGACTCGTTCACCTATCCAAAATCATGCTGTAGCTTTTTGTGAGCCATGGATGCCACAACAGGCTGTGATTTTTAAAAACTGGCCTCATTGGTGATGCAGCTGCCATTGAAATCACAGGTACTTCACCAACAGTTTGAGTTTGGGACCAGCGCCCCAATCATTTCTAATCCTCTCCATCAGGAGTGTGATCTGATACCTGGGTTCAGATCGGTTTCATGATGTCTCTCATGTGCTCGTTTTGAACAGGCTAATTGTGACCTTCGGAGACAGATTGATGAACAGCAGAAACTCCTGGAAAAATACAAGGAGAGACTCAACAAGTGCATCACCATGAGCAAGAAGCTGCTTATAGAGAAGGTAGTATTCATATTAAAGCTCCACTTTCTCTATAAACCTGGTTATAGGAAAGCATCACAGTTTATAACCTTGTCTCAGTCTGTCATGATTATCGATGTTTTTGTTCCTGCTGATGATTTGTTTTGTATTTTAAATGATAATTTAGTCGATTCCTTTCTGCAAAGAGCAAGGCACTTCCAGGGGTCAGATCTTATCCCCCCCTAAGTGTGTAAATCTGTTTCCTTTGGACTCAGTCTTCCCTCAGCTCTTATTGTATGGAACAGTAAATTTAAATCCGTCTGTTTTTTCCACAGAGCACCCAGGAGAAGCAGTCGAGTCGCGAGAAGAGCATGCGAGATCGCCTGCGGCTAGGCCACTTCACCACAGTCCGACACGGCGCCTCCTACACAGAGCAGTGGACCGACGGATATGCATTCCAGAACCTCATCAAGTGAGGAGTTTTATCAAACAATCAAATTGTTCCCTTTATTGTGTTTTAGTCGTATTTTTACTTCAAAATAACCTGGATGGTTTCTGAACAGTTTTAAAACCTGCAGCAAGAAGCAGTTTGAGTTTTTTGCCTCACAGATTGAATGTTTTCTGCCTTTCAGGCAACAGGAGAGCATCAACCAGCAGAGAGAGGAAATTGAGCGGCAGAGAAAGCTGCTAGCTAAGAGAAAACCGCCGAACCCTGCATCTCCCTCACTGTCGCTGGCCTCAACGTCTGAACCGAAACAACGCAAAACTAAAGTGGTGAACGGCAACGACTCTGACCCCTTTCTCAAGCCCTCTCTGCCCCAGCTGTGAGTTAACAGAAATAACTGCATGCTGTAAATGGAAGATGCTGGACTGTAAAGAATGTGGCGGTTGGTTGTCACCTATTTATACTCGTTTGACGGAGTTAAAATCAGGCAGACTTAATTATATCTGTACCTGCTGCTGAAGGGTACCAGAGACTGAATAATAATTTAGCGGGTTTTAAAACTTTTAATCATTCACCCGTGTTAGAAAGGTACATTACTGAGTGTCATTTAACCAATGCAGTTTAACCTTAATGTTTTGACAGACTGACCCTTGCTGAGTATCATGAGCAGGAGGAAATCTTCAAGCTGAGGCTCGGACACCTAAAAAAGGTCAGTGGCTAAAAAAACTCAAACATGTAAATAAGCAACCCCATATGACCCACCTAAACACGAAATGTTTACGTTTAAAATGTTTTATTCAGATATTTTCAGTGATCACATTTTGGTAAAACCTCTTAAAGCAACACTGCGCAACTGTAGTTGCTTAATGTGAGAAATATTAATTAAAAAGATTTTTCAGGTTAATATTCAGCACTTGTTGCACGTTGATGATCTTCTCAGGCTGCCCTTCTCAATAACCCCCCTATGGAACTGAAGGGATCTGGATGTTATCCAGAATGCTGCTTTATAGCAGCCTTAGCTCCCCCTCAATACAAGAGCTAACTAAGCTGCAATTAGTTAGGCAACAAAACCGATTAGTTAGGGCTAAGTGATATGACCTCAAATCAATATCACGATATATTTGGCAGTTTTACCTCTATAAAGATAAATGCTTCAGCTCCTCTATCAGAAATAAAGGCATATGCAGGAAATGCAACTGATCTATTTAGAATTTGATTGTTGAATAAATCGCATTACATATTACTTTGAATTAAATATTAAAGTCTTGTACATATTCAGGTTTAAACATTCAATAATGTCTCATTGAACAGGAAAAAAATGTTAGCTCTTGTAAAAGTTTTTGTGCAAGAGTAATGGAGCCTTTTGCACTTCTTTTATTTTTTTGGTACTTTATTTATAAGATTTTCCAGAATACAATACCAACACAAAAAAGAGGCAATATAACCATAATAAAAGGTGTTAATTAACGTGTATATATATATATATATATATATATATATATATATAGAAAAAAAAAAATAAAATAAAGGAAAATAAATAAACAAAATTGCAACGAACACAGTGAAAAGCAATCAAAGTAGAGAGGTCACCAAGGGACGGGTACGAAAATACAACACAGAACATTTTTTTAATTATGAACTGTTTTTAGGTGTGTAGGTTACAGAGTATGTAGAGAGCCTTAAAGAGTTAAACAGGTTAGAGTTCCTGTGCAGGATTACCATGTCCTGCCAGACAGTACAGCACCAGACCTCTATTATCACCCCGAATGATAAGTCAATGATCCTCAACTTACTTTAGAATTCCTATAACATAGCCATTTCAACCAATATTTATGCAATCTGTTTTCCTAGAGTCTTATGGAGAATGTAATTTGCACTTCTTTTAACTCAACAGCGTGGCTGTACTGTAGGTGGGGGAAGAGGTTGGATGTTACTTTGGGTAGTCCAGACAGTTTTCAGGCAAACTTTGCATTTTGTGTTCTTTTGCTCAACATCTAAGGTGTAATTTTGATGCCACTGAACTGTGCGTGCAGTGGGAACACCGGAATCGTTTAAACTGGCACACCCTCACTCAAAACCGGTCGCCGCGCGTGCAACTGTGACAAGGCGCTCATGACTTCTCTGCACGCTCAGCTTCATCTTTGCTCTCAAACGGCTCCACAGGATTAACCTGATGTAATTTTGTGTACAGCTGTTAGACACTTCTTCACTGGACTCATCCACCATTTTCTTTTTTACGCTTCTTACTGGTCAGGAAGTTGCGCTATTAGACACGCTGCAGTGTCTTAAAGGGGAAGGAAATACTGCCAACCAGTGCAGACAGGAAAAACTTAATTATTTACCAACTTGTTTACCGAATTTACCTACATGGGAAAATTTGCACCAGTTTATCGCGCAACCCTACGATTAGGGCCCAAAAAATAATCAAATGAATCGATTAATAAATTAATCGTTAACTAATTCAGTAATCGATTGGAATCGTTATGTCTAGTAATGGTGCACAGACTCTAAAACAGGTTTGCTGAAAGAATAAGCAACTTACAGCAGTAATAAACACAAAACTCCACGAAAACCTAAAATCTTTTATATGTGTCTGCAGGCTGCAGGTCTTGTTTTAACACACTTTTGCTTAAATACAGCTGGCTGAACACCTGTCTTCCTTAGCAACAACCTTTATTGGGCTCCCCTCCTTGTAGAGGAGGTCAGAGGCTGTCTGCTGGACCTTTGTCCAGTCGTCAGCCCCCATTATCAGGTCTCCTACTGAGTCAGACATGAACTCTTTAGAGCTCAGCCCAGTCCTCAAGGGCCAAAGTCCTGCAACTTTCAGATATGTCTCTGCTTCAGCACACCTAAATCAAATAATTAGGTCATTAGCAGGACTATGGAGGACTTGGATCCATTTGAAGACTGAAAATCAGGAAGGACTCTTAAGCCAAAGCAGAAAAGCATCAGCAGTCGCCATGACAAGTGTTGTCTGAAACAAAGGAGCTAGGAAACCTGAGCAGGATGTTTCTTCTGGATGGTTAACTTAGTATAGGGACCTCCTGACATCCCTATTTGGAGCTTAAAAGGGAAGTTCGCCATAGACATTAGCAGAGCATTGCAGTAGAAAATGATATTTAGGTTGCTCTACTCGTCTTTGATGATATAAATAAAATATTAACATTTATAAACCTTGCGTATGAGTCAACGGAACATGATTGAAATAAGCTCTAGATGAAAATACATGAACAGAACTATCCTTGGAGGAAAACCTTTCAATCAGTCAGCTTTTTTCTATCGTTGTGTATTTTGTGAAATAATTACCAAAAGAATTGGTTCTGTCGCAGATCTGCCTGCATTTTGAATTTGCCCTAGCAACAGCACATTTTTGGTCTTCCCCTGGCAGAACTTTCCTGTTCAGCATTTCTGTTAGGACGAACTGTTTCCCACAATCCTTTGCATGACGTGTAGGCAGAGCACAATTCAACATGTTCTTTTTGTGACGCATTCAAATGTACACCACCACATGTTTCTTTTTTTTGTTTAAACATTTGCTCTTTTTACTTAACTCTTTAATTCCTGGAGAAAAATCACTAAATAAACCTGTATTTTTCTCTGAATGTCACTTGACAGGAGGAAGCTGAGATCCAAGCAGAGCTGGAGCGGCTGGAACGAGTGAGGAACCTTCACATCAGGGAGCTGAAGAGGATAAACAACGAGGACAGCTCGGCGTAAGTCGGCCACCTGTCATTTGATGACATTACAAAGGGTTAGACGACAAGTCATGTAATTACATTGCTTATTGTGATATTCAAGCAATTTTCATTTGTTATCACTCTTTTAATGTCTGTGTTATTTAATCCAACATATCACTGACTTAGAATCAAAACAGCATTGCTGATGTAGGTAATTTAGCTTGGGAGATAACATTTGTTATAATGAAAGATTTAATATGACTGATTTTATTGCATTATTCATAGAGCAGTGTCAGCATGTTACCTTTAGCAATGAGCCATCTGTGTCAAATCAGCCTTTCAGGATCTATATTAAAAATCTAATCGGGCAGTTTAGCTAAATTCAAAGGGATATAGATGGTCTGCTCTGTTTACACACTTTGGAGTTGATTTGTTTCCTCTCCACATGTCTTTATGACAGCAGTTTACATTTTTAGAATAAAATCAGGTGTATTATTTGGATATTTGTTTATGAAAATGTCCTCCTCACAGTTTCAAAGACCATCCCACTCTGAATGAGAGATACCTGCTGCTGCACTTGTTGGGCAGGGGTGGCTTCAGTGAAGTCTACAAGGTACCTTCTGCCATCTGGCACAGTTTCCATCTACTTTGTTTCCTCCTGATTTGTGCGAGGTGCATTTAGAGGCTAAATGTTTTGCGTCCTTGCTTGTCACATGTAGGCATTTGACCTGTTTGAACAGCGCTACGCAGCCGTCAAAATCCACCAACTCAACAAGAACTGGAGAGAGGAGAAGAAGGAAAACTACCACAAGTAGGCCTTTACACACCCTTTTCTAGGTTTACAGTACTCAGTGCATTGAGTATATAGCCCTCTGCCTTTGCTTTATACCTACACAAAGTAGCACATCATTATGAATCACTGAGAAATTATTTGCAGATAAATATACGAAACGGTAGAAAATGTGGTTTTCATTCACCCTTTGTTCTGATAAGAAAAAGAAAAAATCAATTTCTTTCATTGGGGACCTGATTAGCAAAGAGTCCACCTGAGTGTGTAGCTAAATCTTATATAATAGGTGCATTGGAGGCCTCTGGGGTTCATTTGGGAACATTAGAGAAGAGAAAAGCATCACAAAGACTAACGGAATATTGTAGACGGGATAAGTAGAAGGTGATGCAGTAGGGATGTATCAAAATAAGCCCTTTTTCACCTATAATATCCTTGAATGCTAATAATGCTATCCTTGAAATATTACAGGCTATTAAATGCCTCATAAAATATAGATAACATACAAGAAGAAGTAGTAGTTAGCTATGTTTTAGGTCTGGGTCACAATGGATGTATCCACTTTTAATAAACCGATCCAATTCTTTTTTTTTTTTGTATTTTTTTTTTGACTGCTTTTGAGGGGATACAAATACACTGAGTGAGCAGAACCCAATCTGTTCAATTCAATTCAGTTTACTTATATAGCACCAATTCGCAACTAATCATCTCAAAGCACTTTACAACTTAACTAGATCATACTGTTAAATTGCTTCAAAATTTTCTATCTAAGGAAAACCAGTTAATTGCATCGACTCATTGACTCGAAGGCAATCCCACACGCTATTATAACAACATTATAACTGCCCCATACATTGAAACACTCTCCCCCATTTGACTGGGACAGATTATGGAAAGTCAGGGGAGGAAACAACTGCTGCAGCCACAAAGCAAAGCCCTACTTGATGAAAAAACTGCTGCACAGCATCTAGAATCAGAACAGAGGACTTAAATAGGCCTATAATTAAAATATAAAGGGAACTACAATTAAAGAAAAGAAAAATATATCAATAAAGGCTGTAGATAAGGCAGTGAGAGGTGATTCAGAGAGCTTTCTGCGAAGTTTGCCAAAGTTTTTAATTTTTCTTTTTTATAAAGAAGGGAGAGTGATAAACTGCATTTGGACAAGTAGGTAAGAGAAAGCCATGACTATAAGGATAATAGAACAAAGTGATCTGGTCAGATGAAAGAAGGGAGAACATTACCTGAACTCATACTGTGAAGAAATGTTTTGCTGTGGAGCTACTATTCAGTAGGAACAGTTGGTCAGAGCTAGAAAGGTGGAGGAAGCTAAGTATGGGACAATCCTGAAAGGAAACCTGTTGGGGACCTTTTCCACCAAACTGGTTCCAGTGATTAAAATGGTGCAAGTGCTTCTTAACCAGCAGTTAGTGAGTTTCCATTGAGACAAAATCAGTTTCCGGCTCTGAAAAAAACATTTATTGTAGGACCAGAGAAAAGAAAAACCGCATTCGGCAGCAACAAGTTGGCATCATGGAGTTTATTTTTAGATTTTGGATGTTTGAAAATTTGATCTGCCATAAACGGATTTTAGCTACTAATCAAATGTGCTGTTTATGAAGATTGGATTTGAATCTTTGTTTTTAATTATGTTTTTCAACCAATATGTCCTTCCTCAGTTCAGGGTGACATCTGTTCTTCACTTTTTGTTCTTAGATGTATACACATAACTGATAGACTAGCCTGTTTGGTAAAGCCATTAGTGTGTTCAAAATCCTTTTTCACTGCTTGGATGTATTTTTATCCAGAGCTCTGTTTAGCTCCCAGGGAGCAGGATATTTTTCTTTTTTTTTTTTGTGGGGAAAAAGGGGAGAAAAAAATTGATTAATTGGATTTGGTGTACAAACTATCCGATTTTTGTTTAAATGTCAATGACAAAAAAAACACTTCAACTTTAACATTAAATTCCAATAAAATACTCATACAAAGGGTTTTTGTAAAAAAAAAAAAAAAAAAAAAAAAAAAAAGTCAAACAATGGTGTTTAATTTTTTTGCAAGATGCAGTTTGAAGTTACCCAGTTTATTGCTATCCTGAGGTAGGGGATCTGGATTTGCATGCAGGAGAAATGTAGGATTGGTTCAGACACAGATTAAGAAAGGTCACTCGTTAAAGATTAATTTATCAAATTAACCCTGGATGCATGCAAACATACAGAAACAACAGAAAGATTTATCTTGTTGCTTAAACTTTGACACTTCTTCCTTTGCAGGCATGCATGCAGAGAGTACCGGATACACAAGCAACTGGACCATCCCAGAATAGTCAAACTGTACGACTATTTCTCCTTAGATACTGACACGTGAGTTTACCACCCCTGTTCTACTTAAACTTCTTCAGGTTTTGTGAGTATTAGACTCAATGCTGTTTCCACAGAATGATATACAAGTATGGATATTTGATAGGATACATTTTTAGAAAAACTTGTTTTTTTTTTCTGCCAGTACAACTGCAATGCACAAACATGACTGGGAGATTAGGTCACACTTATTTAGCAGAAAGCTCTGACCCCGACCTCTGACCCACACATAGTAAAATGTCTTCTCTTATATAGTAACCAGAGGTGTCAGAAGTATTCATATTCTTTACTTGAGTAAAAGTGGAGAAGCAGAGATTCTAACATGCATTTAAGAGCAAAAATAAATAAAGATAAAATTTGCATTTAATGATACAAAATAGTTTTGATAAGTCTTTCCTTAATAAAAATGTTTTTTTAAACTTAGAGAAATTGCAGCATATTTAACATTAAATCTTCAAATTCAAAATCTTCTAATTTATTGATTCTGCTTTCTTTAGTTAATATATATATATTATAATAAAATAATAATAATGGCTTTTGCTGAGTAAGATTTTGGACTCCTCTCATTCTAAAAACGAAGGCTACCCCAGTGTTTGGTCCTTCCATAAAACTGCTCTTACAAACCGATCATCTTTAAAATAGCTGACTTAAAAGGTCATCATAGAACAGTGCTGTCCAAAATGGCTAAAACGGTATCACGTCATAATATTATTGATCAGTTTTAAGTGTTTGAAAAAAGGCTGAATGTTAATAAGTCATAACCCTGATCCTACTTAATCTTACCTTGTTTGACTTGACTTTAAGACATCAGAGTTCAGTAAATTTATAGAAAATTAATTTGATGTTTTTTCTGTTGTCTATTGTTGACGCGTTGATTTGATTGTTAATTTTTGTTTACTTTGTTATCATTAACTGTATAAATTGTTGTAAGATGAATCATAGAGTAATTGATAAAAAAAGTATAGCTACTTTACAGGTAAATTATGCAGATTATTACTACTGAACTATCTGGGCTGTAGGCAATCTTCTGAGTAGAAACGTTTTCATTAGGGCTGTAACTAACGATTATTTTGCAAATGGATTAAGCTGTCTATTTTTTTTTTTTTTTGATGAATCAGTTGATAATCGGATAGCAAAAGTTTCCTCAAAGAATATTTTTTTATGAAATTAAATCAGGTAAAACTAAAACTTTTCCACTTGAGGTGTTCTGGTTAGAACATATTGACAGACAAAAATATATATATTTTTTTTATCTTGAATGCAAAATGTTTATATATTTTCATACAATTTTGATATAATTACTGCTCTACGTGGGTCACTTTGTCAGCTAAAGGCATGTTTTACAATCTCTATACTCCAGTTAATGTTTAATCGATTACTAAATTAGTTGACAATAATTTCAATAATCAATTGATTACGATTAATCCGCTTAGCTGTTTCAGCCCTAGTTTTCCTAATTTCACCCGTAAACCTTGTTTTGTCGGCCGTTTATACCAGACAGCCCCAAAAGGCTGTCAGGTGTCCCAACAGCCGCATGTTAGCAATGATCTGATGCTCACCTGTTTTGGTCTTTTTCAGGTTCTGTACAGTCTTGGAGTTCTGTGAAGGGAACGACTTGGACTTCTACCTAAAGCAAAACAAGTTAATGTCAGAGAAAGAGGCCCGCTCCATCGTCATGCAGATCGTCAGCGCCCTGCGCTACCTTAATGAGATCAAACCACCCATCATCCACTATGACCTCAAACCAGGTGCCTCATATACCCTCTGCTTTCAAACAGAGAGGTCGGTCACCCTGTTCACCTCTAACTGTTATTGCCCTGCACAGGTAACATCTTACTGGTGGACGGTACAGCATGTGGTGAAATCAAAATCACGGACTTTGGTTTGTCAAAAATAATGGATGATGACAACTATGGGGTGGATGGGATGGACCTTACGTCACAGGGAGCGGGGACCTACTGGTGAGACACACGCATCAGGAAACATCCCTGAACGTTGACAGTTCAGTTTTGGAGGATTTAATGTTGAAACATATCATTTTTACTGTCCTTTTTTTTTTTTTTTTATGATTAGTAAGCTAGTCTTTATGCAATATATTCCCTATATATGTTTATTTAATTTTTCTATTAATTGTTCACAGATTTTTTTTTTGTTTGTTTTTTATCATGTTTTTATTCTGTGCAGCACTTTTCTTGTAAAACACCGTGAATAGATTTTAAATTGACTGAAAAGGTTGTTTACACTTAAGGAGAGAAAGGAAACTGACCCCATCTGAAAACTGTGAAGGGTTTACCTTGATTTCAGCTGATTTAACTGTGATGCACTGAGAGATATAACCAGTAAAATATTACTTTATTAAAGTAAAATTAAACATGCTTATAATTTAATGGGGGCCTTTATAGAATAAAATATTTTTTTTTTTATCTAAAACATTTGTCGGAAAATATTGGGGAACAAATATCATTGTTGGGTCCAAGGGACAAAGCAGACAGATTAGCCAAAGTAGTTGCAGCTGTGGAGCGGCATTTTATGAGGTTAAATTAAAACAATATCCCAGCACTTTGATCATTATCTCTGCCAAGGAGGCCATTTTTTGGTTAGTTTGTTTAGTAGGATGATTATGGAAACATTTCTCTGAAATGGTGAGAACCTATTAGCAGGTGGTGATCAGGATGCAGATTAAAGATTTCCTTTGAATAATTCCTTAATATTGTGAGTTAGAAGAATTAGCTGCTTGGCATATGTCTGTTCTCTCCCAATGCTTTCTAGATTTTAAATGGGCTACAGTAAGGCCCAGTTTCAGCACCTCACACTGTTAAACATGGTGGTGGTAGCACAATGCTGCACGGCTACCTTTCTTCTTCTTTCCAGTTCTGAATGATCGATTTAGCCATAAAAAAAATAAAATTCTGAAGAAAACATTAGCTTCTGCGAAGTAGCTCAAACTGTGGTTAGGGGGTCATAGGTCAGGAGGTTTTTTTTTTGTTGTTGTTGTATTTTTCCATCACCTGAACTCTGCTGTCTGTTCTCTACCTGTCATAAATACAGACCATAAAGAAAGTGTTGGACACTGAAGTAGGAGGATGATTGGGGGAGGTGTAGAGTTTACTGGTTTACCTGGTGACTTAGCGGAGCTTATTAACGTTAGCCAAGCTGCTGCTAAATAAGGAAGAACCAGCTAGCAATGTAGCTAGCTTCTTAACATCGAACCTGCAGATTTAAACCAAAATGGTTTAGTTGATCCTAAATTTCTCAGATGGCTCTACAGGATAACGTATAGGGCATGTTTAGTAACGTATAAAAATAATATATTACACATGCTAATTTAATCTTGCATTAAAAGTAAAACTTTGCATATTTAATTAAACTTTAGATATACTTTGTGTTATAGCTGTAGCTTTTTTTTTCTTTTTCTGCTATGTTTTGTTGGGTTTAGAGCAACGACCGCCATGTTTCTGCACTATAGAGGGCGCTGGTGGAGCGCAGACGCTAAAGCAAACAATAAATAATGTAAATAGATTACACTACCTGGTGTAGCTATGAGGAGTCTGATGTTGTAGGGTTTATAATCAAACCTTTGAGACAGTGGTTCACATGGAGCAGGAGGAAACAATTGGACAGTTTACATACGTTGGCCTTTAAGTGATCAGATGGTTGGCGCCTTGTTTGCTCTTTATAGTAATTTTATTTTAATTGTAAACGTTACCAGCATCACTTAAGTGCCAACCATTTTTATTTTTCAGTTTTTTTCTTCAGACTGTAGTTGAGGTTTATGTATTATCAATATTTTACAATAATACTTAAAGAAATACTCTTATTTTAAAATTTTCTGTCTACTTTTAGAATTTTCTAAGTTAAAACATTGTGGGCTACCGTAGCGACACCTACCAGGTTTAGCTAGTTTTTAGGGGGGAAGCCCAGGATGGATATCTACAACTGTGATCTCAGCTTTTCATGTGAAAACAGAAACTATTTATTGTAACAAAGATAATTAAAGTCTGTAATCTTGGATGGTGAAAAATGTCTCCAAATTAGGTTGTCAACGAATTTCTGTGTTCATGTTTAGGTACCTCCCACCAGAGTGTTTTGTTGTGGGCAAAGAACCACCGAAGATCTCCAACAAGGTGGACGTCTGGTCAGTGGGAGTGATCTTCTTCCAATGTCTCTACGGACGCAAGGTAAAACGGCGTCTACCATGCTGCTTTTGGTATATTTGATAAAAGACACAAAACGAAAGGATTTCTATGTTTGCTTCATTCCTTCAGCCGTTTGGTCACAATCAGTCGCAGCAGGACATCCTCCAGGAAAACACCATCCTTAAAGCCACAGAGGTCCAGTTTCCAGCTAAACCGCAGGCCAGCACAGAGGCCAAGGTGACACACTCTCACAGACACTCTGATGGTTTTATGGGTCACAGCTGCTGATCCTGCTTTAGGATCAACTTCCAGAAGTCCTATAGGTTCCTTTTTAAATGGTGGAGGGATGCGATTATAAAGCATTTTTAATTGATTATTAGCATTTATATTAAAAAAAGTGAACTGGATGGGTAACGTTTTTTTTCTTTTACAATTAGTTGTAGTCAACAGTTTGCTCATTAAATAAAACTCAGTGTTTCTATTTAATTTAGGAATAACCTATAGTGTTTCGATGAGGTAGTAGTTTTACTCTTTTTAAATGATAAATCTGTTTAAAAACTTCTAATTAAAATGTGTCATGAGCTTTATTTCTCTTATGATAATAAATAAATAATTTATCCTGCTTCCTCAGACCAACAAGAAAACCTTACCCCCAAATCACAGCGGCTCTTTTATGGCATTGATCCAATAAAATTGCTGTCTTTATCAGCTGGGGCCTATTCTTGGCGACTGTGCCCAGTCTGACCATGAGGGATCAGAAGTTTATTTTAAGAGGAGCTATGCAGCAGTTTGATGGAAAATGCCATGAGTCAGACAGGAAGTCAGACATGGTGGTAATATAAAAAAAAAAAAACGCTTGGGGGAAAATCCAGACTGTAAAAGTCAAATTAAGACATAAAGTTGACGTAATTCTAGTAATAGTAGTTATCTTTTGTCCCTTCTGAGCAGCAATTTTCCCCAGGATGTTCTTGGTCTGAACTCTGGACTGAGAGGCTGGTCAGAATGGAAATGAATCCTCCCCACACCATGATTCTGCCACCACCCTGATTCAGTGTAGGAATACTGTGTTTTCTGAGTATAAACACTGAGGAGGGTCTTAGGAGCAAATTCCACCTGAAATTACATGTGTGAATTAAAGCAAGTACAGCTCCCAAACTATTAATTGGAAATACAAGTGATTGGATTTGTTTGACAGAAAAGCATTAAAGAATATTTTTCAGGTGAAACCACTATTGTAAATGTCACCATGTCTGTTTTAAAGGTGATTATACAAAGAAAAAATGAAAAAATTTTAGCCTTGCCAACATTTTTTTTCAGGAAAAAAAAAAAGAAAATCACATAAAACCCCATTTGAAACTCTGGATGAACCCTGAGACTCTAGATCCACATCTTGACTAGAACTCAAGCACATTTGGACTGAAAAAATTGAAGCATGTTTGTTCCACAAAGGTTTTAGTGGGCAGTGTGCTACATGGAAATATGATTTTGACACAGTGCCAAATTTTGCCACTCATAAAAGGGAATCTAGCCTGACAAATATACTGATTTACATTATTGGAGACCTTCTGCATAAAGCAAAGCCTTTGCTCCTTAGATTTAGCCATTGTTTCATTGAAATGTACCATGAACACATCATAATATCACAAAAATGAATAGAAATTAGAATAACAGAGCAAGCTTATGTATCGCATGCCTGTTGCATCTGAAATGCTCTCACAATTACCTCCAACCCTTCTTGGAAAGGTCTGAGCCTCTACTTTCCAATGATTCCGGCCATTAGGGGGTGAGGCTAAAAATGAATACCTACTGTTGCATTACTCCAGCAGACTCAGACATGTCAGGTGAAATTTTAACTCTCATTTTACTTCTTTAAAAAGCTATAAAACAAAAAGTATTTGTGGAAAAAAAAATTTTAAAACACGTTTTAGAAATTTTAAAGCCCAATTTAAAAGGTGTGTGGATGAAACACCATGTGAATGTGTTTTAGCTATTTCTATAAATGGATAAATATCAGCTGGGCTCAAGGGGTTAATTAAACTAAGCTTGTATTATGGATTATATTTGGAAGGTGTTATAACTGTTCCTGTTCCAATGTAGTGTCTCTGTTATCATTCAGTTTCTGTAAATCATAGGTCACGGATTAGCAGACCGCTGCCCAGATCCGAACCCACCTGCTGGCTAATCCGGACCCAACCTGATTTCAAACATTTATAAATTACTGCATGTTGTGCGACGGCAGTGTCCAATTTCACTTGCGCCGCTTCCCCTGTTTGTACGGTAAAGCCCTCCCAGAACGGGCTGCACCTGATGCCAATTAGCCAGTGAGCTGTGTCGGTCAGGGCTGCTGCCGCTAGATACTTTTAGACACAGCAGGAAAACCTGCGGCAGGCAGGGCGATGGGAAAGAAGGAGAAGATGAGAGAAAGTGTGGACTGCTGGAAGAACTGCAGTGAACTGGTGACAGAAAAATGAAATTGCGTGCTCAAAGATGACCCTGGATATTTTTTTAGTGTTTGGTTCAACCTGCTGCTGGGAAGCAGGATTCTCCACCATGAACAGAATCAAAAATAAATATGGATCCAGGCTCAAACTGAGCACCTTGATATGTGCTTCAAAATGGCTTTGTCACCATTCAAACCCAAATTTAAAAGCCTTGTAGGGCAGCCTAAAGCCCACTGCTCTCATTAAGCTATAAAAAAA